CCAGGTTCTGCCTGATCTGCTTTTCACAAGACCTGTTTTCTTGGGCCTGCGCAGTTATTTTGTTTTGTTTTGTTTTGTTTAATTTCAAGGTCTTTTAAAAGGGTACGAACTTCCCAGGTCACCGCTAATCCCTAAATACATCCTGAACCATGCAGGCCACTTTGTGCATTCTGTGTCACTAACACCCCAGTGGGCTTTTGACCTTTCTCTGTCTGGTAAGCAGAAAATTCTTAGTTAACAGAAGAGTCAGCTTCTGACGCTGAAGTCTCAGGGGCCTTGGATAATGAAAGAAGGTGGATCAAAGAAGAAATTTAATAGCTTAGTCTATGAGATATTTAAAAAATCCGGCTAAGCCATTCTCATTCCTCTTGGTTCTGCATTTTCTGTTGTGTGCCTGGATTTGGGGGAGCTCTCCAGAGATTCCTTACAGGGTGGTCAACTGCTGGATCATAAAACCCTTGAGGTTCTGCTTTGTTTATGTCAACATAGATTGTGTCTTTCTCAGCTTGTTACCATCAGAACAATATGTAAGGAGGGCTGCTGTGGCCTCTGGGAAGAGAAGGCAGCCATTCTTTCAATGGATGCAATTCGTTTTAGCCCATAAGTTCCACATGCTCAGGGGATTCATTGATCTTCCTTCTTCTCCTCCTTACATTTTTCCTTCCTTCTTCTTCAAAACCCAAATCCAAATGACGTATAAGTGGAGCAGATCTTGGCTGGGGAAGTGTAGGGAACATTGGCATCTTCATGTTTTTCACCGCAAACTCCACATTTAGATCTGAATTTGCTAAAACATACAAGGTTATTCTAGTCCCTATGCTATGTGTGAGTGCTCAGTCATGTTGAACTCTTTATGACCGCATGAACTGTAGCCTACCAGGCTCCTCTGTCCATTGGATTTCCCAGGCAAGACTACTGGAATTGGTAGCCATTTCCTTCTCCCAGGGATCTTTCCAACCCAGGGATTGAACCTGAGTCTCGCATCTCCTGCATTGGAAGGTGGATTCTTTACTACTGAGCCACCTGAGAAGCCCATATTCTAGTCCCTGGAGGTATACTTAAAGTCACCAAATAAGCATAGAGCATTTTTTCTTGAAAGGAATCAAATTTGCTCAATGATCAGTCATTTAAAACTATACTAAAACCAGCAAGTGTGCAATGAAGCAGAAAGCAAAATTTACTTTTTAAAAAGACCAAACACAGGATTATAAAGACATTTCATTCTTGGTGTAGGCTTCTTCCAAATGTTCCCCTAGATCCCATGGGAGTGTTTTAGATTTCCTTTGCTATTAGGAGTATCCGGGTGAAAGTTTGAGAAGCAGTGTGAGATTCTGGTAAATTCTTTTCTAAAACACAGTCTGCCTTTGTATCTGAGAGGAGTAGTTCTTTATTTCTGGGGTTCGCGGAATGAGAAATTATGTAGCCCTTGGCTGGACACTTTAAGTCTGTTCCTGGGCTTGCCAAAAAGTCCTGGGTTGAGTCACTGGACTAGACTTCGTATTCCCACTCTGAGACCACCGGGATTGTAAAATTTGCTGCTGAGTCTATTTCTTGTAAATAGCCCCATGTAGTCACGAATAAATAGTTTCGTTCTGTTATTGTTGGTTTGGGGGCCACCCCCCTACACACACAGTTATCCTGCTTATGTAGACTCATCAAGCATTGGCATTCTTTCTGTTTCTGCATTTGTTGGAAAGTAAATAGGCAGCAATAAAGCAATTTTATTATGCATATTTTCTGCCTTGGGTGGCACCTGGAATTTGCTGACTTTGCTGAGCGCAACTTAAATTTTAAAAGGCTCCTGTGCCTCACCTTATTCATGCCATGCAAGTCAGATGGAAAACCAAATAATTAGAATAAGCAAGCTGCGTGGGTCCTTTCTCTTGCTCTCAACTGACTCCAGACCCTGCTGTGGAATTCCAGCAGCTCTTTCCCCCCACCTTCGAGCTGCTAATCTTCCATGACCAGATCTAAACAACCACCTTGCCTCCTCTCCCCATCTTAAATAATCAACAACTGAGCATAATACCTAGGACACTGTGGTACAGAAAATGTTGAGAGCAGAGCACAAAACCACCCCTCGCCATTGATTTTCCAGAATATCTCATTCACTTTAGGTCAGTCTTCTTTGATTTTGAAAAGGGACTTTAAAACATTGAAGCTGATTTTCACAAGCATTATATAGACTCTGACTAATGCCAACCAAAAACACTTTGTCCAAACTGCTTCTCACTAACTTGTACCGAAAGGGGACGAGGTGAGGCAGAATTGAAGAACAGAGGTAATCTCCAGACATATTGCTCTTTCTTTCAGGGACTCAATGCGGAAAGGGACCCTGTCTGAGATCCCACAAACTCCTGTTAACCTTTCTAGGCAAGATGCTAAATAGTTGTTTGACTTAGGGCAGAAACTCAGTATCATAACTTCCCAGTGATCCTGCATTTTGGTAATGACCTCAACTTTTGGAGAAAGCAGTATGGTGTGGTGAACGAAGCCTTAGCATCAGACTCAGATCAGCCAAGGTTTAAATCCCACAGCCATCATTGCACCACTGGATATATGACAAGTCCTCCCGGGCCTCTTTTTTTTTTCCTCTGCAAAATGAGAAATGATTTCAAGGATTTAATAAGATAACAGATGAGATGAGGAAGCCCAGTGCTAGGCACACACTCAATGTAAGCTTCCCTTCTTTTTAAAACCAGATCGCTGACTATGAACATAAAATAACTCCCCACCAAGAGCTGACTTTGGCCAAGGGTGCTGTTTTCTGTGAAGGGAACTCTTGGTGGCCCTTGGTTGTGACCGCTGATCCCACACATCTGGAAACTATGACAACTGTTTTGCTTTGAGCTCAGCTTGGCCCAAATGTAGCTCTATATAAAGCAGCTTCTATCCCTCAGTTTTTTTCCAACACATCATAGCTTGGCTTGAATTTGGGCAGAAGAGTGGGTGTCAAAAGAAATGCACAAGGTCTGGGAGGAATTCACATTCAACTAATAGTCACCCACCCTGGGATGGCCCCTGGAGTAGCTCCCTATAGTAACTGTCCATGGAGTAGTTCACTCAACACTCACAGGCGCCTAGTAGGAAGCTCTATAATTATGCCTATTTTGCGGATGTCTCAGCTGAGGCTGGGAGGTTAAGTGGCTTTCTCAAGGTCACAGAAATAATAAGGTTTGGGATAAGATTCCAGGCTTTTAGACCTGGTAAAGATAGTAGGAGGATTTGCAGGGTTGGAAGATGAGCAGTGGCAGTGTCTAGCCCTGCCAGAGTCTATTTTGAGTTGACACCACCTGTGACAACATCTGCTGGAGGTGGAGTTATTGGGAGGAACATCCCAGGTATTTTGCCTTGACCTTTAGAAACCCTGTACCCAGGCCCTCTGTCCATTATGTCACATATCGCTGGGGCAAGTAGTGAGATCTGGCTAGTTAAACATGTCATGTAAAACAATATCTGATCAGTAATTTAAAAAACAGTTTGTAAAACTCTGTTAGCATAATTTAATCTTTGCGGGTTTTTGTTTCATTTTGACAATTCAGAAGTATTTAAAAAAAAAGAAATACTTTAAGCCCAATATTAATGTCATTTATTTAACTCAGCAAATATTTATTACTCTACTTAATATATGTCAAGCACTGTTCTAGAAGCTGGAAATACAAAAACTCTTCAATTAAAACTCTTGAAAGTGCCCTTTCTTATCACTGGTCAAACAGTGATAAACAGAGGGATTTTTTTAAAAAAGAATGCTAAAATTGTCAGTTTTCTGTTTTTTTAACCATTTAAAGAAATTCAGAGCAATTCTTTTTTTAACCACCAAAAGCAGTGATAGTTTATTTGAATTGTTTCTAATTATTTAGAAAGAAACACTCATTTTTTAATTTATGTGAAGGAGAAACCCTGAAGATGTCCAGACTTGGATCAGACAAAAATAACTGAGTCCTAGGCCTACAAAACAGTTTTAAACACTGTTCCCTTATGAGCTTACTTGATGAATTTGCTTTCTTTTCACCTGCAAAGCATCCATTTCCCTCTCACCCTTTGTTCTCAGGAGGCAATTTTGAGGCCCAACACACTCTGCCCGACCTCCTCCTGTGTCCAATACCGGAGCAGAGTGTGGGTTTCAGCACAGCCTCGACTGGATGACAAACAGTGAGAGTAATATGCTGCCAGAGTTTCTTTAAAAAAAAAAAAACAAAAACAAAAAAACCCAGAATACCAGAAAGCAGGCTTGCTGCTCCCCTCTCTCCAAATCAAAGCCTCTTGAATAGAATAATGACTGTTATTCAAACGCAATTATACCGAGCACTTAGAATTGAAACACTAAAAGTAAGTCTTCTATTCGGATATTGCATTTCATATTTCAGCATATGCCAAATAAGCTGGTGATGTTTTTATTATTGTTGAGTGTAATGTCAGGAGACAAAGTCCTACAAATTTTCTACATAACTTTTTCCATGTTATCTGTTTTCCATTTACATCGAGTTGAACACGTGGTGTGACTTTTAATATTCTCTCTTTCTTCCCGTATATTTTATGCCAAGGAATCAAACTCAATCCTGAGTACCCTAAATGTACCCTCAGACCAAGCGGGTGGTTTTTTGTTTTTGGCGTTTTTTAGTTTGTACGGAAAAGGAGAGAGGAAAAACCTTCAAATAAACCTATAAACCTGGTCCTATGAATGCTGACAAATGGCCTGGAAAGAGCAAGTGCCAGCACGTTTGAGGAGACCACGTGGTTACAGGCCGTTCTTCCCCGCTCAGGTCTCAGCTCGAGGAAAGTGGGTAGTAACCGGGGCGCGGGGCGGGGAACTGTGACTGTAACGTTAGGCAGGTCTGGCAGATGGGGCGGGCTTAGCGAGCAGGGTCTCCCGGGCACCACAAGGGACGCAGTTGGGAAGGCTTGAGCCGAGGCCCCGAGCCCGCGTTCCTGGCGGGGGCGCCCGAGCGCCAGCGCGGCGAACACAAGCGTTAAGGAACAACCGCCGCCGTCGCTGCAGGATGGCCTCCGGCTTCAAGAAGCCCACCGTGACCTCCATCAGCCAGAAAAGAAAGGTGGGGCCTAAGCCGGAACTCACTGAAGAGCAAAAGCAAGAAGTTCGCGAAGCGTTCGACCTCTTCGATGCCGACGGCAGCGGCACCATCGACGTGAAGGAGCTCAAGGTGGCCATGAGGGCGCTGGGCTTTGAACCCAGGAAGGAGGAGATGAAGAGGATGATCGCCGACGTGGACAAAGAAGGCACGGGGAAGATCAGCTTCAACGACTTCTTGGCTGTGATGACTCAGAAGATGGCTGAGAAAGACACCAAGGAAGAAATCCTGAAGGCGTTCAGGCTCTTTGATGATGACGAGACCGGGAAGATCTCTTTCAAAAACCTAAAGCGTGTGGCCAAAGAGTTGGGAGAAAACCTCACGGATGAAGAGCTCCAGGAAATGATTGACGAAGCCGACCGAGATGGAGATGGCGAAGTGAACGAGGATGAGTTTCTTCGCATCATGAAAAAGACCAGCCTCTATTGAGTTTGTTTATCCCGCAAGCATGTGTAGGGAAATTGAGTAATTGGCTGGCTTCCCTGCTTCTCGATTTGTGAAACCTGGAGTTAAGAGTCCAGAGCCATCTCTCCTCTTACCCCCAGTTTGTCTAGATAGTTCTATTTCCAAATCTCTAGCTCAATTATAGAATTTTCAAATGCTTTTAACCTTGAGTTTTGGTTTTCTTTTCTTTTTTTTTTTGTGAGGATTTGATTCAATAGATAGCAATTAAGAATGCCAATGATAACAAATTTCAGAAAATTCTTATAAGAATATCTAAGTGCACAGTAAAATGATGAAAGCATGTTTTCAATATGTACAAAAGCAGGGTGAAACTGTGAGAGTAAACTAAGAGTTTTGGTTTTCATTCCCAAGAGCGGACCTGGGTTGAATCAAGGGTCCTGAAAACTTCTCTCCAGACACCATTTGCCTTGCGTTGGTGGACACCCTCTAAACTGAAGGTGAGGTGGCTTCTTGAGACAGTTAGCATTGTGGTTCCCTTGTTGTTTCTTTGGTATTCTTAAATTATCTTGCTTCCTGTATTATTGCTTACATTCAAGTCCTTCTCCCAGGGTGAGGTGAAGTCACTAACAGGCCATCCAGCCATTGATTATCACTTAACTGAATTCCTGGTTTGAAGGAAAACAGTGCAGCCACTTATGGGCTCAGAAAAGGTATTGTTCTAAAGGATACACTTGTTTTTGGCTGTGGTAAATGGTGCAGCTTAGATTATCCTCTGGCTTCATCACAGGCAAATGACTTTTGATATGCATGTACCTTAACTACTGTGGATTATCCCAGGCCACGATGTATTCTTGGGCTACAGAATAAAAAGAAAATTTACTATTGGCCCAAGCAAAGTATGATTGCTTAAGAGATTAAGCTAACTAATGACTTTGTGTAAATATTTAACAAATGTAAGATCTGAGCTTAGGAAGTAGTAAAAAACAAAAAACAAAAAACTATAATACAGGTTGAACTACTTATCTGTCTTTGAAAACTAGTGTTTCAGTTATTAGACCAACTATACTGTAACCTTAGTAATTTCATTACCACTTTATTGGAAGCCACTGTCTACCTTCTAATTCTTAGAACATCTTGTTTCTTGATACTTAATCTCTCCTCCTGTGGTATATAGTTGATTCTCTACAGTCTAGCATATAAGTATTTCTCTGTGTTATAATCCCAAGAAACTATTCATTGTGGCTTGTGTTTGCGTTAATACTGCTTGTCCTCTGTTATAAATTAAACCCTTCTTGTTTTGAAATAAGATAACTACCCTTTTGAACATCTGCAAATATGAAGTTAGAGAGAAGTTAAATAATATAACCGTGGGAAAATACTATAATCCGCTGAGATGGAGGACAAATGTTTTCATAATAGGCAATGAAACTACCAAAACAAGTAGGATATTTTGGTGACAACTTAACCTAAATTAAACCTTCATACACAGTCCCATTAAAATAAATGCTGAAATTCTGGAAAATTTTTTACTTGCTTTGCCAGCAATTTTACCCTTCAGAGGGCTGTTAATGTAATCAGGAAAACTACTACTCTGGGTTTAATTCTCATTAACAGGGACTAATTTGTCAGAGCAGCAGGACTGGCTGAAGTGATGGGTATGTGGGCATTTACTGTGAGAAAGGATTTTGCTGAGGTAGCTGGCACAGGGCAGGGGAGCTCACCCAGACTGCAGATGCTAACAGTTCAGGTTCAAGGTCTTAGTGTGGATTCAGGTGCAGTTGGAGGGGATTCAGGTTCAGCTTGGGTCAAGCATCAGTGGGAGGGGCCTGGTTTGAGGGTAACGGGAGGAGTGTGGCATTCTGGGAAACAAGAGTTCCTGGCATCCTGCTTACCAGAGTCTTGGTCCAGAGAAGTACATATGGATCAAGGTAGAAAAAGTAGAAACAAAGTTGGCAGAAACTAGGAGAAAGGGTCAGAGTTTCAGCCAGCTGGACTGGGTTCAGTCTTGGCTCCCGGCCCAGCAGAAGATAGAAGTGAAAACCGGGAACTGGGGCTGAAGCCCAGTAATCAGGCTGCTCGAACACCGTGGAGTCAACTGTGGAGGCTGTAGCCTAGGACTTCAAGGGTTGGCCTGAGGACACGGTCCATCCCACACACAGGAAGTAACAGTAGTAGTCGTAGTCTCTGTGTCGTGTCCAACTCTTTGCGACCCCATCGACTATAGGCCACCAGGCTCCTCTGTCCATGGAATTCTCCAGGCAAGAATACTGGAGTGGGTAGCCACTCCCATCCTTTCATCCCATCTCCAGGGGATCCTTCCAACCCAGGAATCGAACCCAGGTCTCCTGAATTGCAGGCAGATTCTTTACCATCTGAGCCATGAAGGAAGCACACACCGGAAGGGGGCTCCTTATTTCTGAATATTTCTGAGCCCCATTCACTGCTAAGGAAGAACCTCTCAATGGACTATCAGTCTTGCTTCTCAATAGGCTCATATTCTGGGGGATGGAGGGTAAAGTGGAGATAGGGAGACAACTACATTGACATTTGAATTTTTAAAATATGTACTTATTTTGGCTGCACTGGGTCTTGGTTGCAGCATGTGAGATCTAGTTCCCTGACCAGGGATGGAGCCCAGGCCTCCTGCATTGGGAGTGTGGAGTCTTACCCACGGGATCACCAAAGAAATCCCAATATTTGAATTTTAAGAGAAGTAAATCATACATGTCTGGCTGGGTCAGACATATCCCAGTCTTTATACAAACAGAACCCAATTCAACGAAAATTTATAAACACCTTTTTGCAGATGAGTAAACACACCTATAAATGTTGGGAAGAACTAAGAAAGTAGTTTTCACTGGGTTATTACAAATGATCCCAGGAAGGAAGCAGGAAGTATACCAAAGAAACTGTGTAGGGGGACTTCCTTGGTGGTAAAAGTACCCTTATCCTTTATAATAGATAATTTTACGTATCAACTGGCTTAGGTCACAGGGTGCCCTGATATTTGTTTAAACCCTATGGATGGGACTTCCCTGTGGTCCAGTGGCTAAGACTGTGACCCCAGTGCAGGGGGCAGGGGTTCAATCCCTGGTCAGGGAATTAGATCCCACATGCCCCATCTAAAGATCCCATGAGCTGGAACTAAGAATTTGGCTACACACCAAATAACATTTTTTTTTTTAAAAGAAATTATGTAGGGAGCCCATTGATAAGCCGTTGCTTTCAAAAGTTAAATGTAACAGGTGAAAAGCAGACCATTTGGGCCAAGGATGAAAATATGAGAGTATCAAGTTTGTATTGCTGTCATGAAAGCTAATGCCCTAGATGGGCAGAGGACAGTAAAGGGATTTTTTTTCCCCTAAAGGCATCCTAGTTGTGTTTAAGATGAGAAGATTGAGGATGGGATTAGTCCAATTCTTTAAATTGTTGCAGGTTGGTTTCCACAGGAAGCCGACTCTGAGGTTTGTGTGTGCTTAGATGCCCACTCATGTCCGACTCTTTGCTACCCAATGGACTGTCGTCTGCCAGGCTCCTCTGTCCATGGGATTCTCCGGCAAGAATACTGGAGTGGGCTGCCATGTCCTCCTCCAGGGGATCTTCCTGACCCAGGAATTGAACCCACATCTCCCATACAGTAGGCGGATTCTTTACCATCTGAGCCACCAGGGAAGAGTTTATTTTAGTGTGTTCTCTGGATCACTTGGGTGAGGGGAAAAGAAACTAAGACCCAGCAGAGGGAGAAATTGACCTATGATGTGGTTATAACAAAGGTCTCAACTGATCTCCCGAGGAACTCTGGAGCAAAGATGACCCTGCAGATGATCCAAATTGCAACAAGGAAGTTGAGCCTTGAAAACTTGTCATTGATTAACCATCACTGGACCTGAGCTGTCCCTGCTGCTGCTACTAAGTCGCTTCAGTCGTGTTCGACTCTGTGCGACCCCATAGACATCAGCCCACCAGGCTCCCCCGTCCCTGGGATTCTCCAGGCAAGAACACTGGAGTGGGTTGCCATTTCCTTCTCCAATGCGTGAAAGTGAAAAGTGAAAGTGAAGTCGCTCAGTCATGTCTGACTCTTCGCGACCCCATGGACTGCAGCCTACCAGGCTCCTCCGTCCATGGGATTTTCCAGGCAAGAGTACTGGAGTGGAGTGCCATTGCCTTCTCCGTGAGCTGTCCCTAGGAAAGGGGGTATGACTTTGAGCAAGGTGGCTGTCCTCAGCCAATGGCAATCAGTCCCTGGGAAAGAGAAGTCAGTTGCAAACTCTTGGCTGTCAAGATTTCCAGCTCCTTGTGGATGACTTCAGTTCTGAGGGATAGCCTGAGGGAGGTGTGGGCAGGGCCTCATGCCTCCTACCACTTAGATCTCTCCTCCTGAGGGAAACTTACAAAGGAGATCTGGAAGGACGAACTACACATGAGCCTCTATCACAGTGGCTGGTCTCCAGTCCACAAGCAGTGGTCATCACTCTCCCTGATGACCCAGCCTCGACTCCCCTCACCCTCAGCACCTCTGTGACCTGGTGAGTTGCCTAATGGGAAGAGCCAGTTCCTCATCCCTGAGGAGTCTGAGCCCCCAGTCTCAGGCTCTGGCTGCTGCATACATCTCCCTGCCCTCAAAATTGAGCCCAGGAGCCCCAAAAGACATTCAAGCATGTCACCTGGGTGCCAAGCATGCTGTCCCCCTGTTCTGCCCACAGCTCTGCACCCTCCTGATGACCAGGAGTAGTTACTCGTGGTGACACCTCCCCTAGGCCACTGCCCTCTCAGCATAACAAATCATCTCTCTTCTCTCTTGAAGAGCTTCTTTCCTACAAAGCCAGCCTATTGCTGGTAGGTCTACTAACTTCAGTTTTTGCCTATCTGAGAAAAATCTTTATTTTTCCTCCACTTCTGAAGGATTGAGAGCTCCCCTGATGGCTCAGTTGGTAAAGAATCTGCCTGCAATGCAGGAGACCCAGGTTCCATCCCTGGGTCAGGAAGATCCCCTGGAGAAGGGAATGGCAACCCACTCCAGTATT